GGTCGCTCACGTGGAAAAAAAACATCCGACGAGGAGAAACTCTCAGTCATTTATGGACCAGTCACACCGCAGGACGATGACTGCAGCAGCAGCAGCAGCAGCAGCAGCTCTGACAGCAACAACAGGGATGACATTGGGTTTGCTGACGAGAGTGAGCGCCTTGAAGATGACCAAGAGTTACGCCTTCACATTCTCGGGTCCCGATCCATCTTTTCCAAGTGGAAGACTTACTGTAACTTGCTCCCCATCATTGTCAATGACAGTAAGTGTATCACAGTGACTGTGTGACAGTCAGTCTGAGAGTTTCAGATGTAACAGCTGATTTCAGGTGGATAGAGACTAACGCTGCCCGGCGAACCTGTGATTTACCTACTCGACACTTACCCCCGGGGAACGTCCGGATGCTGTTCTATGAGTTCTGCCAGCAGCATCCACACTGCAAAGTGTCGTGCTTTGGCAAGCAATGCAGAATCAACCTGAGGACTGTGGAAGACAAGACAATGATTAAACATGATCATCATGAAAGAACTTTGAACTCAGGTATTCAACATTCTGGCGGCGATACAATCTGAAGTGGCAGCCGATCTTACGCTTTTTACCCCCATCTTCACATGGAAGCTGCGACTCCTGCATTGACTTCAAGGAGTCTTTCCGTCGAGCGCATGATGCTCGGCAATGATGTTGGTGGGCTGATTGAATCAGTGGACATTTCTTCAGACAGCAAATCACATACACATGTCCTCTAGATAAAGACCTTGAGGATGCGCAGCAACGCTTTGACATTGCACAGTCATACAAGAGACATCTTGACGCTGTTGGAAAAGACCGGCAGTTGGAAGAATACCTTCAGGCCAGGCTGACATAATAATAATAATAATAGCGAGCATTTTTTAAAGCACAGTTGCAGAAGCAGCACTTAGTGGCGGTCCGTCGCCAGGGTATGTCACCACTGGAAAGCGACCATGACATCCTGTCCCTGACATGGGTACCTTGGATGCACGTCTCAGGATGGTTGGTAACTGGGCTGGGGTGGTTGCAGGTAGCAGTATAACAGATTGGAATCAATCATGATGGAATATATAAGGACGGGATGGACCAAGCCAAATGGGCTTGTCCAAGGGACAGGCTGATACAACGATCAAAGGAGGCAAATGGACTCCTCCGACCGAGGATGAAGGTGCAGGCAGTATGGATACACGGGATAGCACTAAACCTTTATCTTGTGCATCCTTGTATCCCAGCGGACAGCTCGCTTGTAATCGAATGCTTTCAGAAGGCTCTTCAGGACTGCATCGACAGGTTTGAATCCCTGGGTCAGCCCTTGCCTAGCACTTGCTTCGCATGGGTTTCTTGATTGCACTGTTGGGGGGGCAGGAAGCACATGGCAGTAGCAGCGGGATTTCTTGCATTGCACAGCACGGGGTGTAGTGTTACTAGAGGCTGATAATACTGTGCGGGAGAACAAAAACAATCCATGCCTCAAGCATCTCGCGGCATTGGTGGGAAGATCTAAAATGAAGTGCACGGGTTTCTGCTTCAGCCGGTGCGGACACACGCACAATGCCTTGGGATTCTTGCTTTTGATTGGCCTTGGATTGTGTTTTCCAGCTGTTAGCTCTTGGACCATTTTTGTTTTCTTTGGGTGGGGTGATCTAAGATCAAGTCTTCGGACTGATCGCAAAAAGCATCAAGTTTGTGGACCTGATGTGTGATCCGCCCGACTTGGTTATGAACCTTGCATGCGCTTAGGACCTGCAGGAGGGTTCCTTTTAAATAAACCAGGACAATGGGGTCATGTTGCACTTAGGAAACTCAAACATATCCTGGAAAGAATCCGTATTCGACAGTGGATCGGGGAGAAAGCACGGATCAATGTTGAGTATGTCACCTCTTGTCGTGATTGGAAAGCCTGGTTTCTCGGCAGCACAACCACTTCCGGTGTTCCCAACCCAGCTGCCCCTTGCCATTTTTTGCTCCGCGTCAGGTATGATCAACTTCCGGTGCAGTTCAAGGGAGGCCTCAAAACGGATTCAAGCGGAATTCATTCCTTCGTCTTCCTAGCAAGAAGAGGCTAGCCAATAGTTGAACTGTGACTCTGCTTTGAATGCCTTTCCTGACTGAAACCTATATTCTTTCCTGAACAGACATCCCGAGAAATCTCCGAGTGGTGGAAGATGTACGTGGCAATCTCCAAAGTCACGAACTGGATGTGATTTGCATGGTGAAGAGATATGCATCAAATGACTGCCTCGAACAGGATCTTTGTTTAATTGTCAGTTTGCTTAAGTTTCAATACTGAAAGAAACATACTTATACATGAATGAATATATTATGCAGAACACTTTGTTGCACAAATCATGCGCAGGAGCCCCTGCTGGTCTTGCCTCAGCAGATCATACGCCTGATTCTTCGTGGAGGACCGCAGGTGCCAAGACCTTTGGCAGCTGTGAAAGCACAGAAAGCTGAACACTACTTACAACTAGCCCGAATCATGGTGACTCGCTTCCCCACTGGCACATCTGGAAGGGCTGCAGAGTTCTTGGTCGATTTGATCAGGAACAGGACCCCTGGCCCCTTGCACCCACTACCATGGTTTGAGGAACCAGGAAACCCTGATGAGATCAAAATTCAAGGTCAGGCAGCAGTTCTTGGCCGTGTTTTGCCAGCAATGAAATTTCAGGCACAAATCAGGGTGCGCGACTGAATCGCCTCGATGGAAAATGATGTCATTTGTTTCAAGATGTTTCAAATGTTTGCTTTCAAAATCCAGTCATTCTAAATCCAGTCATTGAGTTTGGCAGCGTTGAGGACAACTGGTTATTATGTGTCAGGTGTCAGGTTCAAGCTGCTTTGAGGGGTTGCTGCATAGGGTGGTCATGGCATATCGGGAGCGCTCACCGCGGAAGAAACTTCGTCATGGGTCCACCTTCAGGCACTATGCAGTGTTCTTTTCTAAACAATTTAGACCCAGTGTTCGGACCCCTCATTTGCCAATCCGCCAGGCGGCAGAATGCTCAGGCCATAGTCTTCCTGTGCTTCTTTCGCCTCACGTCAAACCCACTGATTGGCTACAGGACCCATTCCCACCTGAGACACTGGAGTTCGAGAGCTACCAATCACCGGTCTTGATAGTGATCGATGATTCTTTGCCGGATACATATCCAGATACACAGGTGCACTGAGTCAGTTAACTAAACATGGAGTCATCTCACGCTCCGTCCGTGACAGGTTGATGCAGAGTCTACAGGTTTAAATCCAACAGCTTTGGACACGAAGGCTTGGCTACTAAGAGCACAGTTTCCCCGGCTGCTATAAATGGAAAAACATGGAGCAATGCATTCAGGTCAACTTGGATGATCCAATCCTCTTCGAAGACACTCAGGTGAAGATTTGGAGTTGCTTCAACAGACTGACTTTCAAACCCTAGACATTTGGCAGGTGGTTGATGTTCCACAGACCTATCGATCCCCTAAGGCAGGATTCGTTCTCCTAAGAACAATGCACCTCCTCTGTCAGCTGTCAGGCCATGGTACAGAAGACGTCATCAACAAACTTCAGGGAGAAGGCCCGGCGACGATGTCTACCAATATATACTTTGAACTATACTTAGAGAACTTGATGTTTCCCACATTGCCTCTCCAGGACAACCTCTTGGTGGCGAAGGGCGGCAGCCAGAACGAGCCTGGCAGTCAGTGAGGGTGGCTCACATGTAGCCAAGTTCACACATGGTGGATCTTAAAGCATTCGATCCAGCTGGGGTCTTTTAGACAGCTACACTGCTGTTCACAATAGACATCAGGGTGCCGGGAAAATGAGTTGTTGTTCAATGTTGTCCAGGTGCAAGTCTTTCAAACCAAGCCGGATTCTTTGGTGCTTCTTTCTTATTTAACAGTAATTTGGACCAAACACACAGTGTGAGGGTAATTGGGTGGGAATAGTGCCCAATGCCGCTCTGGAAGTTGAAAGACGCAATCCATATGGCAACATCCAATCCAAGGACCTCTTAAAATTACACTTGGTCACTCTCTAGTTTCAGCATCTCACTGGGAACGATTAGAACATGGTCTTCTCAATGCAGGACTTCAGGACGACGAGTGATCAAGAATAACCTGCAACATGGGGATAGGCTCGCAGTTGTGATGTCCCATTGAACTCGCAGTCATTTTGCGCCCGTGGCAGGAAGAAGAAGATGAAGCCGTTCCGCTACCCCAAGACTACCGTTGATGCTGCCTCGGAGAGCCACCCACAAGGATTTGCTTCTGTCATGGAGCCTTTTCTTGGGCAAAGGTGTATTTGACCAGGTTATCGGATCGATTCGGACCGAGTTGGGTTGCTAAGCGCTTGAGACGGTGGTGTTGGACATTCTCGTCTTCATTTTCTGGGATTGGGGCACCAGAAACAGCCTTGACCTCAACTTAAGTGCATGTCTTTTTTGAGATGTAATGCTAATGTTTTGAACATAAGTCAAGTGTCTCCTCTACTCTTGACTATTCTTCCGTGAAACAGTCCAATCAACTTGAGGCCCTCAGAAGCCTGGAGACGGCAGCTCAGGAGTTCGTTCGCAAGCACCTACCTGGAAAGAGTCAGCTGAACCACAATGTTTTGTTCGAGTTCACTTGTGAAGTGGACGCCGGATGCCAGCAGGTTCTGGCTTCAACTTTCGGCTGCTGCAATGTCACTGATATCACTAAGTTCAGTGCTACCAGAACCCTTCAGTACTGCTCAACCCACAAGAAGATGTGCAAGGTAAGGAAGTTCATTTCGAAAAAGAGACGAAACTTGTTTGCAACATGAGGTTGACATGGAATTGGAACCAGTTTGCCTCAAGCTCACCAGTTTCCCTACCTCAACCGCCAAGGATTGCAGGTCAATGCTGCTGGTTTTGACCTCAGCGCCCATTCACAGTCACAGTATATATGACAAACAGGTCACTGGAGTCACTGGTGAATGGTGATTGATAGAATTCCTGCCTAGGTCCCGTGTGCACTTCGTTCAGCCGCATGGGTAAGATGCAGAGGGAAGCTTCTGCATTGTTTGCAACCCACGAAGCATACTACAGGGAAACCAAGCAATATGCGGACATCATGGTGATCGAAAACGTTCCAGAGTATTCACCAACCATTCCCAAAAAGCACTTGGGGGCACACTGGCGCCAAGAAAGCGTCGTGATTGATCCCAGAATTTTTGGGGTTGCAGCGGGAAGACCAAGAGTATACATTTTGACATGGAATACCCGTCGTGTAGTCTGGACATATGAGGGAACTTTGACAGACCTGATCGACTCACTGGCAGCGCGCGTCATCGGAAGCGCATCTGACTTTTGGTGGATGACACTGGGCCCTTCAAAGCTCACACCTGCCGAGGCCAGGTTAACATTGAGTTACCATGGGTTAGCCATGAGTTAGCCAGGTCCTTATAAAGTTATCCTACAACCTGTTGTCTTTTGTCAGGCTGAGAACTTGATGGAATACCGGAAAGGCGGGAAGAAGGTTCTGTGCCCTGACCTGACACAATATGCTGCCAATGGGCGTGGACGTGGAGAGCTAAAATGCGGTAGCCTTCAAACATTGACAACAAATTCAGCTCGCATATTCCATGAGGAGAGAAATCATGCTAAGTGTTGACCCTTTTTTGTTCAGTGAACCATGTAAACCATGAGTCTCCAAGCCGCCCCACTCTTCGCACATCGCAGCAGGAGCACAAGCGCTTCCTGACAGGTCATGAGATGGTGAGTTCCCAGCTTTTGCCTGTAACTCCAGGTCAAGCCAGGAAATGCGGATCACCTAAGCTTGAACTCTCTTGTTTGAGCGAAAGGCAAATCGCTCGGGCTGCTGGCAATTCGATGTCAGCATCATGCGTTGGTGCCATTTTGCTTGCTGCTGTGCTAGCTTTGGACATGAAACCCACTGCTTGAAAGTTGCACGGGTTTAGACTGGCCATTAATTGAGGACCTGCAAACTCGCTTGAGGCCTTTGGAAAATATGTGTTTGCCTTCGTTCTTCATTTTGGATTGGTCATATTTTAATATGTACTATCAACATGTGACACCAGTAGCGCTGAGAAATTTTGGTTGGAGCTCGGCCTCATCAAAGATGGGGAAGCGTGCCACGGCGGCCCCGGATGATCGGAGCAAGAAGGACCTGAGAACCACGAGAGTTTGGGCAAGCCATGTCTATGAAGATGTAAAGAAGCTTTGTGGCAACATGTAGACATGACTTCGTGCTAGGCTACTAAACTTTAGAATCTTGTTTGAAAGACCTGTCCTTAGGAAAATCGAACTCCCCGTTGATGAGCACCCAGTCGAATGGCTTGTGGGATGTCTGAAGAAGAAAGACATCATGGAGCCATTGTTGACATGGCTCACAGAGTTAGACCCTGAATTTCCAGACCCAAGGACGTACAACTTCCCAGCTCCTCAGATAGATGGTCGCCTGTAGCATTTTTATTACTGTTACTTCTTATTGTTATATATAAAGAATAATTCATGAAGCGTCAACCCCTAGCCATAACTCATTCCTGCAGGCTTCAATGGACCATTTGACCGACATCGCTGACGTCCCTTTACTGGCTATGTGCTACACACGTCCATCTGACGGTCTCCCAATATTTCATTCTTGGGTCATGACCGCGAAGGACGTGCTCCATCGCGGGTTTGAGTCCTGGCGTTGCACAGCTGAAGTACGACCATCACTGGGGACCAAGCCTGAGGGACCCTACAACTTCGAATGTCTGGATTGCGTCAAAGGATTGGGGCGGTTGTCCATCATCCTGTTCGCAGTGGTTTACACCTACATGCATAAGCGTGATATGTCTGAAGAGATGCAAGCAGATTTTACAAGGCCCGGTAGCCAGATGAAAAGGGTCGCCCTAAAACCATCCAAAATCCCAAGGGTCCCAGGGTGATGGTTTGGGTGAAACCGTCGTCCTGGCTCTCCATCGCAGAATATCAATTATTGCACCCAGAATATCATAGGGTATTCCTTGTCCCGACCCAGGATATATATTATTAATATTCGATCGGCGGCGGAATATAATCCAACATATTCTGGGGTGCCAGAAATGGACCCAGAACACCCCACCCAGGGTGATGGTTTGGTCCAAACCGTCGTCCTAGAATCTTGGGAAACTTGGGCCCTCCCAGGGTGACGCTTATCTATTCATGGTCCAATTGAACACCACCCAAAATACTTCAGGAGGTAGGTGGAGCAAGCCTTCATCCGCCTGTTGATTGGCAGGTTCTTGAAGACGGTGAGGTTCATCAAGTGCAAGTTTGTTTCCACCTCAAGGGTTGATTGCTTGTGGCGACGGATGCAAACTCATGAACAAGAATCCGAGCGACAGCGGAAGACTTTGTTGCAAAAGGTCATGCTCTTCAAATCACGTGCAGATGAATTGGTGGTGGAGGACGGGCTTCATAGCAGACTTAGATGGGAAAACTTTTAAACTCGAGCCTGCCCGTTCACTCGTCAAAAGAGAAAACCTTCATGGTTACTTCTAGGAGAAGTTCAAAGTCTAGTCAGTCTAGTCCCAGTTTAGTCCCTTCCCGCCCATGTCCAAAGGACCGAGACCTTCAGCCCAAAGAAGCCTTTCTGAAGGCCATCGAAGAGTACAACTCCTACGAAGTGGCTGCCTTTGCAAAAAGATTCCAGATAGACTCTTCTACAGCAATCTTCATGTACGGATTTTCTGCCACTTGTCTTATTAACCAACTTGTCCGGACCATTGATTGGTTTCTGTCCCCCTATGACTTATGACCAATAATTGGTGTTCAATCTGACTTGTCCCTTTCTCTTGGGCTTGAACTGCTCTTTGAGGCTGGCATCTCACCGAAGTCCTGGACATTGCTCGAGACACACTTCCATGTGCACCGAGCTGACCAAGCAGGCCAGTCTGAGACACAAATAAACAACAAATTCCCCACTAGTGTGTGGAAACTATGGATAGACATTTGTAGACCGCGCCAAGCTATCTGTTGATACTTAATGAAACTGCATTGAGTCTGTCATATGTTGCTGTTCATTGATTGTCGTTCCTGGCCCTGCAGCATTCTCGAATGCAATGCTGCTTGACGGTCGCTTCCTGATCGGGGGGCTGTCCAAAGACATCAGGGCCAGAAGGAGTCACACCTGGTCAGCCATATTGACTATGGACGCTGGCAAACAGGAGGGTTTCATCGAACGAATCCTGTTCTTGCACGAGATTTTGAACCGTCGCGGAAGCAAGGTTGTTTCTAGGCTCTCCATGCAAGATTGGGCTGCTGAATGTGATCGCATTTGCCTCTTGCATACCATCTACGCTGGTATGAAGAATGCCGTGGACGCCGACGGGAACAAGCTTTTCAACGAGGAGCTCGTGACATCTATTGGGGAACGCTGCGTGGAAGGGTTGCTTGTTGAAGCCATTGGAACCTATGTACTGTTCTTTTCTTTCAAGTTGATCTGGCCCAATGTTCTTTTCTTTTAAGTTTCTAGGGAAATATGTTTTGAAGACCATGTGCAATCATTTAAGACATTGAGGGACTTCAACGCGGAGATGGATGGGTACCTGGCAGTACTGGATGACGGTTTCAGAATTGAGGAGACAAACCTTTGGTTGGAGAATGTACCCAAGCCCAAGGAAACAGTGTCGACCAAGGTGGCTGCAACGGATGCAACAGTGGACAATTTGACTCTCAACGCCCGCAAAGCACAGTTCGATGCAGACTGCCTTTCTCTAGCTAGAGATGCAGCGCAGTTGGGTCAGCTCATGAAGGCGGTCTCCTCTTCGGAACAGGCAGCTCGCACTGAGAAGGTGATGCATTTGCGTCACCAGAACAGCATAGGGGCTGGCATAGTTGCTGAACACATGGCATCACATGTGGCAGTTCACAGCGGCAACATCAAAGACCAAGTAGCGCTCATTGACAGGGCCAGGGGTTTGGACCAAACATGCTTTCCAAACAAAGCCATGTCACTGTTCTGCGAAGAGTTAAGATTGTCATGTCACTAGTGTTCATCATCTTGTTTTGCTTATTGACGCCCCTGCAGTTCTTGACACGATTTCCTGACAATCCCGTCGTCATGATCCTAGACTTGATGAAGTGTGGGCGCTGCTCCAACGCAGAGCTCAACGAGTACACAGAGCTGCTTGCTCATGGATTGAAAAAACGGCCAAATACATCTGTGGCTTTTGTGGTGGCACCATGGTTGCTGTCTGACAAGGCTTCCCACTCTGGCTACAGAGGAGAGCTCAGGAGCCATGAGCTATTAAAGTTTGTTTTGTTTTAAACATGCCTGACTAGCGCTTTTGGCATGAGTTCTCAATAGTTTTTAGTCACACTTCTCGCTCATGGCAAGTAGATAGTGTTTTTGCATTCACCTATATTCACCTGCAGGCGGTGGGAGGACAAATTTGATGCTCGAGGGCTATGGAGTGAAGGAGTGGCCCTCAGGTGTCAGCAGCCGCCACGTTCTCGCAAAGTGCCATTGATTTTCAATTGCTGGGTCGTGTTCAGCGATGCTTGCATCAAAAGTGACGCTGGCAATTGTTTTATGCAGTGTCAGCTCTTGCAAGAAAGGCCCGGTTTCTACAAACATCCAAGGTAAGAAAATGGCAACTGTCCAGCGCGTCTACTCTTAAACACATGATGGTGTTAACACGACTCACTGTCTGTTTAGTATGTAAGAGCAAGATGCAATCATAAACACTTGACAATGATAATGACTGTCCGCCTGTCCTTGCAGGGCCACGCGCCAAGAGGTCGCTTGGCAGCCCGAGGGGAGCTACAAAGTGCCTGTTGCAGAGAAAGACGCGCTCCCGCATGCGAGCGAGGGCCAAAGGCAGGGGTGGTAAAACCTGCTGGGTGACAAAAAAGCATGTTAAACATCCCATCTGAGGTGGTACGGTTACTGTAAGTTGGAGTATGACCCATGACTACCCCATTTTTGGTGAGTCTGAGTGTAGTGCCGTGGTATGGCGCCGTATCATTCCAACCCGGATTCGGAGGTCTTTGTCAGAGGTACAAGAGAGCGCCCAATTTTTGGTGCAAGATGCCATGGCAAAAGCTATCATGGAAAGTCTTCTCGCCAAAGCCGACTTGCCACATGAGACCATCGCTTTGATCAATCTTACTCCCTACGACGGGATGTTGGAGCGGGCTACACGTTCATGGCAAGAGTCCAACCCAGGCACCAACATCAACTTCAGGTCTTTAAGCATGACAAAGAACTTGAGCACTGCACAGTTCGTGGAGAAGACAGTAGCACTAGAGTTGCTTGAGGATGGGGTTGTAGTCTATTTTGACTGCTGTGCTTTAACGTTTAAACAAGTTTGGAATCACCACCAACTTACTTCAAGGTATAATCGTTATAATCCATCTTCGACCCACTCTTGAGAGGGGGTGGTAATTGTGAAGAGCCCGGCCCCTCTAGGAATGGAAGTCTGGACATGCTCGTTTCAAAGACGTCCGTGCATACGAGCCAAAGCCACCAGCACAAGCGCCCAACAGCAAGTTGGAGCTGTCATCCTACCCATTGCGGCTTGCAAAGGTGGAGTATGATGCCACGCCAGGCAAGCGTGGCTGGGAACGTTACAAGGTATCACTCCCAGCTTCCATTCGAGCCAGGCATGTGGAGGACGTTGTCCACGGAGCTGACTGGAAACAACTCCTGGAACAATTTGACTCAAGGTTTAATGACTCAAGTTTGCATGCCTTTTTAGTCTCAGAGTCATTTTTGGGTTGGCTGCTAAGTGGTTGGAGCACAGCGACCCAACCATCCCAATGCCCCAACCATCCCAATCTCCCAACTCTGCACTTGCACCTCAGGTTCCACTTGAGTGGGAAGTCTTTGGAGGTTGCACCTGCGGAGCCGGTCGAGCAAGAGGTCTTGGAACCATGGGACGAGCCTCTCACGATGGAGGACCTCCTTGACAAATACATTTTGGAAAGCAAGATGAGCGGTCGCGTGGCAAATACGACCCTGGTATTGACGAGGGCGAAGCAGCGCGATGGAACAGTGAGCCAAATTGTTGATGGTCAACAATTCAAGCTGTTTCTAGAGACTTGGCTTACTGTTGGTCTGGATCGAATTTCCAACCCGTCCAACTTTCGCGCGTGTCAATGGGAACAGGTATATGTCTTTCGCCCTTTAGCATTTTGGCCCAGGTCTCCTTCTCTGATGTCACCTTGGGGACTGGTGAGTTTCAAATTGCCCACGGTTCGAGCCGATTTATGAAAGAAGAAAAACTCCAAAAGATGAGGCTCCAGGAGAAACACAGTATCCCGGCCTGTCTTGTTTATTGAAACCCGTCTTGGAAATCAATTCTTTGCCAGTCGCTTGTTTGGTGTAAGTGACCGATTTGTGCTGTGATTTGCGCCTCTTCGTAAAGCAGCCAGCAGTATCTACCAGCTCCTGGCTCAAACCAATCACATAGTTCAAAGTGCACCAAGCGAGACCGACAAAAAGACCCATCGCCATGCCAAATCTAGAAGATCTTCTGGCAAGCCAAGGCTTTGACCAGGCCACTATTTGACACATGAAGTTGTTGCAAATCGTTTCCTCATCAAACCAAAAGCTAGTGAAATATGTGTTCAGACCCCACTTGAGGACTTCCAGAGATTGGCGGCAGAAAGCCCTGGTACAATTCAGACGCCGCCAAACAGAGCCAATTGCTCAGGTATTGGGAATCTTTGTCGTTCTTTTTGAACTCAATCTGATTCTAACATATTCTAACGACTAGTTTCTTTTCCGATTCTCAGGCGGCCTTGTTCAGCCCAGAGGGTGCTACATCTGAAGCCTCGGGGCAGAAAGTCCCACAGGCTTGTCGTGTTGGTGTCTTGAACACCGAATGCAAAAGATGATCATGTATATTACTAATGTTCATACTTCATTGTGACTTCATTGTATGATTCACACTCACGCCGGCTCCACTAACTGACACCCGCAGGAGAAAGGTGAACCTGAGATGCCAAAAGTCCCCCAAAAGCCCGAGATGCCGATGACAGTTCTGACCAGCAATGCCAAGTCCAATCCGAACATGAGCGAAGAGAGGAAGGCAGCGCTGCTGAGAGACATCAGCAATGCAAAACAAGATGCAAAGGACGCCAAAAAACAAGAGAAAAAAGAAGCAAAGGCAGCCAAGGAGGAGAAGCCTCAAGCAGGCAGAGTGGCGAAGGCCAAAGCAGGCAAAGGGAAAGGAAAGACAGCAAAGAAGCGTTCAGCACTTTCAGAAGAGGAATCTAATGCATTGGATTCAGAAGAACCTTTGTCTGATGATGAAGTATTGGATGACATCTCAGAGGATGAAGAGCTGAAGAAGAAGGAGGAATCCAACACAAAGCATGAAGAGGAGGCGTTGAAGAACGCCCCCAAGAATGAATCCAAAAAGAGTGAGCCCAAGAAGGTGGAACGCAAGAAGGATGAGACTAAGGCGGGCAAGAAAAAGGAAGCTAAGGCGGAGGAATCTGAGAACAACAAGAAGGTGGAACGCAAGAAGGATGAGCCTAAGGATGGAAAGAAGAAGGAAGTTAAGGCGGAGGAGCCTGAGAACGAATGCAAGAATCCTAAGGAGGGAAAGAAGAAGGAAGTTAAGTTGGCGGAGGAACCTGAGAAGAAAGAGAAGGTGGAACGCAAGAAGGATGAGCGTAAGGAGGGAAAGAAGGAGGAAGTTAATGTGGAGGAACGTGAGGAAAAAGGGCCGGATGATGATCAGACCACTGAGAAGCCAAAACAGAAGTCAAACAAGATTGGCCGGAAGGAATATTTGCAGCAAGAAGCATCCAGGCGGGATGATCCCCGGACCAATGAAAAGAAACAGCATGAGGACCAAAGCATGAAGAAGCCAAAGGACAACAAGAGGAAGAGTGAGCATGATGATGATGATGGTGATGCCAGCAATGGTAACAAGGCACCAAAGAAAGGTGATGAGCAGACGGCTGCTGATGATGGCAAAAGGAAGGCAAAAATGGATGCCGCCACTGCCACCAACGTCAAGGCCAAGAAATCGAAGACACAAGAACCAAGGAAGAATGAGAAGGATGTGGAGAATGGCAGTGACGGAGATCAAGCGAGCAAGAAGAATCAAAAGGAGGGGCAAGGTAAGGCACAGGAATGTCATGAGGCCAGTGTCACAAACAAGAATGGCAGCAAAGCTGAGGAATCTGAGACTCGGGAAGTAAAGAATGAACATGATGATGATGATGATGATGATGATGATGATGAGAATGATGACAGTGACATTGACCATGCCTCTCGGGCTGAAGCTGCCAGTGAAGTGAAAAAGGGCGAGAACAAAAAGCCAGACACGCACTCGCTACGAACAGCCTGCCCCACATGTGGTCGGCTTTTGCCCAAGAGGGTCAGGAAAAGCAAGAAGGCAAAGGCAGCAAATGGTGAGGAAGGCGAAGAAAAGGAAGGTGAGAACGGTGGAAAGGCAGGAACATGACTGGCTAGGTCCACTGTCATATACACACTTGGATCATGGATCCAACTCCATTCTAGTCTCCGTTCTTTCTGCCATGACATGGCAGGCAAAAGGTGGTGCACTTGGGCACGCTGGTCTCCGCAAGGACTACTGGGTCCACATGCAGGAAGCACGCGAGCGCTTGCAGCGTGAGAATCCGGGCGCATCCAAGCGTGAAGTGTTGAAGATGGCAGTGACAGAGTCCTAACCTCAAATTATGTTTTGAATGACATCCCACGTTTCCTTAATGAGAGTTGGTAACTGACAAGATCCCCCGAGGTGGAAGCAACATCCCCAGCGAGTGGCTTCCCTCAAGAACATGACCCACTCTGAGTTGTCCCGTCGCCGTCTAGTACCTTCCAAAAGGAAGGTCGTTGAGCCTCCGGCTGAGGGTGAGGTCCAGGAATCCGGTGCCGAAGAACCACTGCCCAGTCCTGAGCACAGGTCTCAGCCAGGTGAATCTGGGAAACCCGATGCCGAAGGACCTGAACACAGGTCTGAGCCAGGTGAATCTGGGGCTGACAGTGACACTCTAGTCTTGGGGGAGTGTCATCCATCCGATTCCGACTAGTACAGGAAGTCAGCCTCATTTTGATTCGAATGGGTCTGCCTATGACGTGCAACAGAAACCATATACTACTGACAGACTCAGACCTTTCTCAATCCTTGGTTTTGCTGCAAGACCCAAATTGTGTAAGAGGTTGTTCCAAACGCCAGGGGAATGGCGTTTGGGGAACATAGACGTGTGTTTGCGGTGAAAAAACATCTGGCGAACAAGTTCCGACCATGGTTACCTTGCCCCTTAAAAACCCTTGCCCCTTACAAACCCTTGGAATTGTTCATTATTGTTTGCTGCCAGGTGAGGTAAGTCGGACCTGCTATGCGCACTGGACAAGCGACCAAACACACGTCATCTTGGAGGTTTCTGAGGGTGACAAGAAAGCCACCAGCGACAGTGAACGCTGCTCGTGGCGTGAGCTGTTACATGAGCTGGAGGATAGCGGAATGACGGATGCCACAGTGAACAGCCATGATGTCAAACATGCTACTTCCAGCGGAGAAGGCCTGTTGTTTTTGTTCAACAAGCAACAGTCAACCAATAGAATCGTGGGGAAACAGCTGGTTTGGTCAGCAATTGTGGGATATTATCTGGAATGCCGTGACTTTATCAGGTGGTGAAGCAGCATACATCTTCAAACCAAAGCCGAATGCAATGGTCTTCGCCTACAACCCGCTGCCCAGTTATAAGTGGTCAACTGTTGCATCAGCTTTCACGATCAATGATCCTTGGACACAAAGCTTGCTGTCCTGAAAGCCCAATCGCCATGCCATGCGCAGCCATCTATTTCTAATCTAAGGAGCTTGATCAAAGCAGGGTCTTGGAACGATTGTGGCGAGTTTCATATCAGAAAGCAGCGAACGTTCCTTTGTCACACAATCCTTCAACTATGTCAGGCATTGACTGCTGTTTGTCACTGACAGTTAGATTGTGGTTGTTCACTGCTTTTGGACTCAGGAAGTTTCCCCACGAAGCTTGCATGAATACTAGCCAGATCTAGTATGTCAGCGTAAAGGATTTTGCTTGATGCGTGCAGGGTTTCCTTCCTCGCAAACGATCCGATCCGATCCGAGGCAAACCGCTTTATTTCTTCCGACATGAGATGACCCTCAAATCAAATGTGGTGATGAGGCTTGTTTAGAGATGAGCGAACGGGCCTGAATGGTCCTGTCATTTTGTGATGTGTGAATGGGCCTGAATGGTCCAGACATTTTGTCGAGCCGAATCAATGCGGATGTGTAAAAAAAAGATTGTGTGGGGCCAAATGGGTGGGTGACTGCCTGTGACTGCTTGCCTCCAAACCCATGCAGAACCTTTACAAAAAAACATGGAATCCTGATTGAGTTGAACTGACACCTGAACACCATGAAATCTACTTATTATGGATCCGTCTAAGACAATTACACTATGACGTTCCACTCCACTCGGCAAACTCACATGCAAAGTGGAGTTCACCACCTCTTTTGCTATGAGGATTTCATGGTCATCCGAACTCGAGGGCCACGTCCTCCACGGGAGAGCGCACGGTCGGACCTACAGAACCACCACTGGCAGCTCCCCCCGTCCTCCTGAGGCCGAGCAACTTCACGGTGACACAGCTCATGAGTGTCGGGTGTCACAGCTGTTGTCGTTTATTTTGAGGTGCTGGGAACATGTGTCCAGAGAATGCCTTGGGACTGGAAGATTGAAATACATTGGGGATGTATATAGATAGACTTGTCACCTTTCTTTCCCAGACGATCCATAGGACTGGCATAGTTGCATAGTTACTACATGTTACTACATTGGGGTGCTTGATTTCAGGGAGTCAATGTCGCTAGCTCTTCCAGTCCCGTCGTGTGAATGATGACATGTCGATGTGTGACGAAGGGTGGGAAAGCCCCAACTCCAACCTGGGTCGAGTGACCAGGGGCATTTGAGCCCACATGGGTTGAAAAGATGTCAACACATCCCAGGACCCCCCAGTCTGGAGGGTTAATGGACAACCCTGAACGTCTACTGTAAGAGTTGCAGGGGCTACCAATAGACACCTTGAAGTGCTGGTACTGACTCCCTTCTCCTTTTTCCTGGGGAGTCTCTCTCTATGCCTATGCAGTGGAGAAGTTTTCCAGCACAGAACTCATTGGACCCAGTCCGAATGAGGTGTCAACAGGTCCAAACAGGTCCTAATATATAGATCCACACAGCTGGCCGGTGCTGAAATTGACATCACCAGGCCCAAGAACACAAGTATTAAAGGGTGATCAGATGTGATAGGTGGTGTGATGTGATGCGTCCGTTTACAGTATTTTTTTTCAGGTTAGATGACACAAACACCGTGGCAGATGGAAGATCAATGTCTTTTGGGGTACGTAAAAAGGGATAAAACATCCTACTACCGCTCTTGTCACTTCGGCGCCAAGCACTGAGAATGTTGTATCAAGCCTTGCCAGTCAGACGAGATGTTTTGAGTACACGGCGCCAAGTACAGAACACTTCGAAAGCTTCACAGCAAAGGCTGGTTCAGAATCCGACCCGACTCGTGAGCATAAGAAATCACCACAAAACTTCCATCACCCCAAAAAAGCACATGTGTTGTTTTGGTCACCAGGTCGTCTGTTGCGAAAAGCGGCCGAGTCTCCCAACTTGTCCTCACTCGCGGAGACTCGCGGCGTCGCGAGCGACGCAGCTGGTCGCGCCAGCCGCTTAGGTCCTCTCCAAAGCCTTCAGTGCTGATCCCCCTGCCTTGCCACCGAGCGGCACGAGCAGTGCCCCCGCAGCGCCTGTATCCCCGACGCGGTTGCCGGTGGCCTCTCAGCCAAAGAAGTGGTGGGTGAAGTGAAAGGAAGAAGTGGAGTCTTGGCTTGGGTTATTGTTTGTTTATGAAACTTGATTGCTTCTGAAGATTAACTTGTTCTTCAGCATGTTGTTCTGATTTGTGCTGTAATGTTATGTGTTTTGTTTTTCGTTTTTCGGGGTTGTTATATTCAAGTCTTCAAGAGTTCTGGGAAGATCTTTGGAAGTGGTTTGACCCCTTGGTGCCAGTCACTGTGAAGTAGGCGGCATGATTGTCAATGACTAAATCCAGGTCAAAGTACAAATTTTGGGCAAAAGCGTACTATATACATGTATGGCCCGTATGGAAACAGCTGACACCCACTGAGTGCCAAGAGTGAAGAAATTGGTTTCCTAAACCATTAAGTGTTGGGCTGGGTGAACTCCGTTGAATACCCAGCGGATTAAAAACTACTCCGACATGGAACTGCTGGCACCGCGAAACAGCAAACTCCCCCAGACGCTCGTGGACCCTCATATGGAGGGATTGGACCCTCATATGGAGGGCCCTCAAATCCCTAGGTTTTGAGGGACCAAGGACTGTTTGGAGCGTTTGGCCAGATATCACCAGAGACCGCAGTTTAAACATCAACCGACCAAGGCCGAGGAGGAGAAGCCGGATGGCTCCAGTGCCATGAAGATCTTCACACGTTTCTCGGACCCTCCTGGGCCGTCCGGCATTTTGGTCGAATCTGTTCAGGTTGTAAATCGGAACCTCAATTCTTGAGGGCATTCAGAAGGGTCATTGACTCAATTGAGGTTCACAGCTTGTAATTTATCATTGATCTCGGGGCATTTTGGTCAAATAGGTATAAACTGTGAACCTCAATTCCAATCCTCAGAATAGGTGGACCGATGCGGTCGTGTTCTCTCGTCAAAAAACACAACGGATTCCTGGCAGCTTTTTTTTTCACACGGATCGACGTTTTCCTTGCTGACTCGGTCGAAGTGGTCCTGTGTGGTTCCTTCAGCGGTGAGTCACTACCTGCAGTCACACCTGGCCACCTGCACTAACAAGTCAACAGAACGAATTAAGTGTGCCTGGCTCATCCTGTCTGGAGGTCCAGCCTATCAGTGTAGGGTAGTCTATTGGACACCCATTGGATGATCTTGTTGTGTGTGTGTGTGCTTGTGCCAGCACCTTCCTTTCAGGGTCTGCAACGAGTTGATGCGACAAAAACATCTATATATACACACCTTCCTTTGTGGATTTGAAGATGGACACCCTTTGAAGGTCCGTCCACCTGTGTGTGGCACTCACGCTGCGTGTTTTCGCCAAAAAGATGCAGTGCGGGGCACGTCAGTGCTTTGTTGGCTTGGAGGGCCCCATTGACGCTTCGACCATATGGACCGGACCGTGCCAAAACACGTCCGTCATTTTTCAGTGTGTTCGTGTTCAGGCGAGCCAAGGCTTGTACAGCAACTGGGCAGCCAAGTTCAGCCATTCGAGTCATCCTTTTGCCTGGATTTGGGTGATCTCGCCGAACGGAGGACCATGAATGAAATCCGAATACCAAACAGGTGATGAACTCCACTTTCATGATCATTTCAGGGAGTGTAGATCAATGTAAATCTTTGGACTACGTTTTGTCAATTATATGTTCATCAACACAAGCAGATCGAGTCTGGTTTGCGGCGTAGACTCACGCAAAAAAGAAAAAGAACACAACATAAAGCATATCCACTTATTATGATTATAATTGATTATATAGTTCACCTGCGCAGCCTACTGCTTTCCGTCGGCCTTATTCCACGCAATTTTTTGCAGCCAGAAGTTGCAATTCATGTTGAACTGTTCTTCATGTTATGGGATTGTGTTTGGAATAAACACCTGGACTGTCCACCAACCGCCCCAACTGTCAGTCCAGATCACTGAACCTTGAACCTGTTTGTTCAACTGATAAGAGCCCATGAGTCCATTGTCATACTGGAAAATTAACAGAATAGACTACCGAGGAGGTCAACCTACCAGGGTGTAGAGCTCCGGGTTTCACACACACACATATATATATATATATAACATTTTTTATTTGAGTTGCGAGTTGTTGAAGTTTGCAGAGCGATTGAGCAAGTTCTGGACTTGATCACTTTGGGGAATAGGTGAGTTGTCAAGTTCTCCATAAGTTGTCAATGTGTGAGTTGCAGCACGGGATGTGACAAGAGTGCCATGGGTGGCTCAAGAAGTGCAAACTCTTGGGCTCTATGGGATCTTGACTTCAAGGAGTGCTTTTTTGTTCGACTGAATCCAGACTTGGATTTTTGTTTGACGCGAAGCTCCTTGGCACATTTTTGCTTTCTCCAGTCGCTTCAAGTCACCCCCCTTCCAAACCACCGTCCTGAGTCCAGGTGCTGGAAATCGACGACTTTGCCCCGGTAACGCAACAGGGACTTGTTACTTTTATTTCCTCTTGATGTTTATTTTTTTTTCCAAGTGTTGATGGGAGGGAACACCCCTACAGTCACATAGTCTTACATAGTCCCTTGGCAGAGGGTGTTCTTGCAACTTCTTTCGGAAAAAACACATCTACGCCCTGGAAGATTGTAGACTTCCAAAGGTCCATTTTCCAGTTGTACCTTCTGAGAGGGTGTGTGGAGCCCCAGGTCTAAGAGGCTGGTACATCTAGAGTTGTTCCCACTGGACTTCGTGACGTCACTCTCATCCCCATGACGGCCTTCGCCTGCGTTCCCCCAAATCCTGAGGCACCTACAGCGGTACACCTCATCCCACGGTGCAGGGCGCCGCTTATGCGCGCACGGCCACCGCACGAGAACTGAGCGCCGAGAACTGAGCGCTGGGTGGAGGATGCCGCATCGATGTGCTCGAGACCCTTTTTAGACCTCTACGTGAGCCCAAAAGGCGGCAGTTCATGGACACTCTAAGCCACAGGGGCAATTCTTGAAGGTCATGGAGACCTCTTTGGGTTTGCTAGGGGATGTGA